TAATCATATTATAATATGAAGCGACCAATAATAAAATTAACTAATATTCTACTAAAAGTTCATATCACAACAATATTACTAATAATTCAAGTTAATTTTTAATAAAATAGCTTCAGATTATTACTTATTGCTAATTATCATTTTTAAATAAAAAAACTAGAATTCATTACTCCAAATAATTATATTCTATTATTTATCCTAATCTTTATATTCATAATATTATTTTAAGTATTTTATTCTGTTATTCTCAAAAATGAAAAGCTTTCTTCTTAATACAATTAAAAAAGTTATAATTATAAAGTATATATCTAGTAATACAAGTACTAATCTAAGTAAAATCTAAATTATTAAATAGCTTAATAATCTCTTCAAGTGATTCTTTCTTATTATCTTTAATTACTTATATAAGAGTTCACTCTTTATAATCAGTCAAAAGAAATGATCTTTTTATATAAGGAAGAGACTTGATTATCTTATCATTTTTGAATTTATTAATAATATTAATACAAGTAGTTCTGGATACTCTAAGTATTATTTAAATATCTGTAGTATTATACTTGCTCTTGTAAAGTTCAATAATTATTTTATATTTAAAATCCAAGTATTTATAAGACTTAAATATTTTTTATAAAATCTAGTAAAAAAAACTATAAAGTAAATTTATAATTTTTGAAAGTTATAATCTTTTTTTGCTTGAAAAAAAAGTACTTGAAATTAAGTTAGATATAAGATAAGATATTCTATTTTGAATATAAATTATGAGACAGAATTTTATTTGCTAATCATAAAGTAATAAATACTTTTGATAGAAGAATATATCTAAAAATTATAATCAATATAAAAGATATCTGGATAAAAATAATTTTGTAAATTAAAAATTTTATTAAAAATAAAAGGAGAAAAGTAGTAATATTTATTAATAAAAAAGATATTTATGATTTTTATAAAATATTTTCTGGAAAATTAAAAGATTTGGATATTTTTAATTTAGATACTTCTTCTAATTTAAATAGTTTAAATAATAATTTAAGTAATTCTTCTATATCTAGTTCAGAAATAAAAGTTATATATACAGTAAAGAAATATTTTATTTAAAAGTGTAAAGTAAAAAAAGTAAATATAATAAAAATATAATTTTTGAAAATAGATTATATTATATTATAAGAAGTAATATCATGTATTTTAAATTTACAAATTAGATATTAGTATAAAATTTTATAAAATATACATAAATCTTTTTTTATTACTATATATTATATTAGTTTAAGAAAATATTTATATTAAATAAATATATTTTATAATAAGAATTAATATAAATGAATTTTAAAAAATAATAAGAAAGAGTAGATCAACTATCTCTATTAGTATATATATTAAATAACTTATATTTTAAAAAGTTAAAATCTTCATAATTTCTAAAATTATTATATATTTATTATTTATATGAGTTATATAATTTATATATTATAAAAAGCTACTGATTTATCTAAAAATAAATAAAAAAATTTTTCATTCTCTTCTCTTGTATTATTTAGCTTTATACTTTTTTCACCAGTAATATAATATATAAATCAGATTTTTTAAATTTTCATATATAAAATATTATATCTTTACATACTTTTTTATTTTTATTATCAATTTTCATATTCTCTACTTTAATATAAAAAAGATTAACTTATATGATAGCAAATATAATTAGGAAATATAAGATTAAAGAACTCATTAACTATTTACAAAGACAAGATTTAGATCTTAAAGAATCTTATTTCAAGCTTTTTCAGCAGAAAGAGATTATTAATTATATATTTCTCAAATTAACAGAAAAGAAATTTCAAAGTATAGGATTTATATTAGAAATTGTAATCATTCTTATAGATTTTATCAATAAGCTTATTAAATAAAAGATATGAAGCTTTTTATCATATAAAATATTAAAAGAGCTAAAAGATATACTTCACAAATATAAAGTTAATAGAGAGGATATAACAAGCATAAAGTAATTTAATCCAGATATGTAAGAATTTTTCTTGATATTTTTTTGGAATAGACTATTTCACAAATTTTTTGGCAAAAGTAATCAATAAAATTCTAGAGAAATGATTAAGCATTATTTATAATATATTAATATTTTTTCTATTATATAATTTTCAAAGAAATTGATAATAATGATAAAATATTCAAGCATTATGTGGCAGACATCATATTAATTCTGAAAATATTAAAATAATAACTGATATTAATAAAGTCATTCACTGTAAATTTATTTTATTCATCCTATATACATCTCTTACTATCATTCAAAGACTTACCAAAGAAGATATATTATTACAAAAGAATATTTCTAATGAAGAGATATCTGAATGTGTTAATTATATGATAAGAGGAAAGGAAGATCTCATATGCATTGCTGAAGATAAATCACGTAACATCAAGATTAATTATCTCTAAAATATCATGCAACTCAAAAGTATATATCATATGAATAAGAAAAAATAAATAGCTAAACAAGTTTTTGGAAAGAATAACTATAACTATCTCTACGGAATCATATTCACAGATATAGATTGGCATTTTCTTGTTTTCAGCACTAATGGACTTTATTATACCAGTGCAAGTGAATATCAAATCAATCTCTCAAAGACAGTTATTAAAGAAAATCTGGATATACTTCAAAGTAATGTAAAAAAGATAATTGGGATTATTGTTGGATTATTAAAGGATGGGTAATAATCAATAATTCCCCAGTCAGCAAGAAGGCTAGGATCAAAAAATTTATAAAGTAATGGAATAGATAGTTTTCCTATATCACATGTACACGATAATCAACCAGACTATTTTTATTTGTATTATCAGTGCTGTCATTGGTCAATAAAAAACCTTCCACTCATTATTAACTATTTATCATACGATTGGATGAATGATCAACAGTAAATTAACATAGGATCTATTTTTGCGATTGATTGGTTATATAAGAAATGGTATCTAGTTCCTGAATCTATATCTAATGAACAGTTACGTGGGTTGAGGTGTTGTATTACTTAGTTAAGCTACTTCCATTCATTTAAGAATGCAGATCGAAGGTGAGGTTAATAATTAATTGGGTTAGTCGGAAGATCAATTGATCATTTGAATTGGTCCACTATTCACAGAGATCAATATCTACGTTTGGAATTATTATTGGCGTTGATGGTATTAGACTAACGTTATATTTCGTTACATGTCTATTGTTAGGTATATTTTTTGTTATGCAGAATTCCTTTGAAAATTTCATGGGCATATATCTTGCGTGTACCTTAAAATTCGCAAAAAAAGTTCTGGTAATTTCTGGTCCTTTACTGTCTAAGTCTATAAATAAATTCTGATCTGTGACACTGAATGAAGACTATGTGATGTGATTGTTAACTTTTTCTCTAACTTCGAGCATATATGCGAAAAGACGGGAATGATATGTGTGGTATTGTAATGATTGATCTTTTTAATCTTGGGGTGAGAAAACTTAGTAAAGATATAATCAAAAATTATTATCGTAGAATTAATGATTTAAAAGGCAGTAAGTTAAACGAGCCCAAAGAATCATCGCCTTTCGGGCAGGCCCTGGGTCCGACTGATTTTCCTCCCATGCAAGCTCACAATTATTTTTTCGTTTTAGATAAAAGTTTGCATGGGTTATACCTTTAATTTAATAATCAAAAATGAATAAAAGATTTCGCCCACATGAGGGCTTCTTTTTAAGCGTATGCAACTCGTACCAGCGACTATACTCGATTTCTTCGTCAGTAAGATTTTAGTCAGGTGATTTTGCTACAGTACCTTGAATCTTGGTTAAATTTGATTGGATATCGTGAAACCTAAAATGTGATTTTGTGTAATTTAGTTTCAGTCTTGTATAAAAATGTTTTCCGATGCAACAGCCAAATTCTTCCTATGTAAGTGTATGTTCCTCAACTCCAGACTCCTCAACTCCAGGTTCCTTGTCTCGAGCTTCAAGTCCACATTCACGCTCTGCAGACGAGGAGGCATTCTTGGAATGTATCGAAGCTATCAAAGCCAATCTAGGAGACGTCAACGTTATCAAAAAAGCTAGCGATAAAGAAAAAAAATGGTGGATTGATGGAAATTATAAGGCTATCGATGAGGAAAGGTAGTAATCATTGTGTACCATTTCCTATTGACTATGCTAAGGATTTGCTTATCTTATTAGACTGCCTCTGCGTCTCATGGAAAATGTAACGTACCGTGAATATGAAAAGAAAAGTGAAATTGCAAACGCAGGCAGATTTTGGGAGTTTGATGATGGCGTTGTAATCATATATGAGTTGCCAAACCGTGATCATGAGGTTGCACACACTGCATTTTCTCGACAATTTCTATCCGCCTTCACCAATCTACAATTTCAAGATGATGTTACGGGTGCTGGCGCGACAAGTATGTACCATTTAATGCTCTTGATTGTGTATAGATATCATTATTTTGAACTTAATTCTGTTGCATTCAGCTTGTCTTGGTTCGGGGCGAAGATCTGCCAGACAAGCGGACACTTCATTTGTGCCCAATCGCTTACCTATACCATCTCCTCATCCAAGTGATGCTCAGGTATGCACTTTTAATTATATTGGCAACGCATAACACAAAAATATGAACAAGTATCTTTGTTTATAGGGTAATCCCTGGCCAACCGTAGTCTGTGAGGTTGCCCGATCCCAAAGCCTTCCACATATACTCCAAAAAACCAATTCGTTCTGGTTAGCCCCAAACCGATCAGAAGATGTGATAGTACTCAAACTATGGCCATGGAATCGTAGGAAGGATACAAATGGGCGCCCATTGCGTCGCTTAACAGTTTAGTATTACTTGTAAGTTCATTTTATTTCTATCCATTCATCTAATGACTTGTATTCTTGATAGTGTTATAAGTTTTGTCGTCGTGCAAGCCTTCAAGCAGGTCAAGCACAAGGAAGGTTCCAACCAGTCCAAACGGTAGAAATCAGTGTATTTATGCTGGTTGATCCATCATGTTTGACTTACAGAATCGTCTTATGCATTCGTTTTTTACAGTACGAATTTGGGACCATTGATAGACATCGAAGACCTTATAATGGTTGCTCAGCCCAGGGAATGCTTACTGTGACAATTGCGCCAGAATGTGTTTATGAAGGTTGTACTCCACCATATCCGCCGTATCCGCTTGCAGGGAACGTAATCATTGATTTGTTTAGTATCCAGCAAGCAATTTTTCGTTATCAAGGACAATAAATTCTTATATGCATATAGAAGTCACGGTAGCATTGTAATAAGTAGCAAAGTAATCATTTATCAAATTAGCTAGCTATGTGCAATTTAGATATTTTGTGAATGAATAAAAAACTACATTTGCGATTTCAAAAAAAAGACTCGGTTAGCAATTCTCAAAAATTATTTTTCTCGTCAATTCTGTCAGTAGCTTAGTTTTTTTTTCAGGCACTCGAAACTCGAAAAATATATTTACTTTATTGTAAGGCTTAACTCTCGCCATTATGGCTACAATGACTCATCAAAATCGGGAAAATCCATCTTGTGCAATCACTTGTGCTATTCATATAATTCCTAACTCTTCGAGATACTTCGGAATCGCTATATGCGGATTTTCGTAATACCATACCTCGATAAGAACGATCCAATTTTCATCGCAGAGTTCCCTTTTGAGCTGATCACGTATTAATTGCTTCTCAAAGTCTTCCTTATTTTTGTGGAAGTGTTTTACATATTGTTCGTGTTGCTTATCTTGTACCTCTATGGCAAATCCATACCGTGGATAATAAATATCAAGCTCTAATCCTCGAGGATATTCTGATTTTTTCAAGAAATCTGGTCGGCGAATATCGGAGAGTGGACCAAGAATATTTGTTATAATGTCACGGCATAGATTTTCGTGTTTGTTTAAGCAATGTGAACACTATGTTTTCGCATGTTTTATACCATTAAAACTCGCAAGCCATTTATGCCCTTTACCACACATCCATTGCATCGGAACACAGAGATTTATATATTCCGTAGAAAGACACATACCATCTACTGTGAGCAATTTCCTTTGCTTCCATAAGACCACGAGGAAAATTACCAGCACATTGTGAACACCATCTTCCCATATTTTTTATTCGATAAAGAGTCGTAGACCATTCATGGCCTTTGATGCATCTCCAAAACATTGGAGTAGTTGCATTAATATATTCTGTAGAAAGGCATTTACCACCTCGTTTTTGTGCAATATTTTTTGCTATATCAATATTGAGAAATCGACACTGCCGACACCAAGTTCCATTAATAATATCTTTTGCTGAAGCCTTCCATTTATGACCTTCTTTACACTGCCATTCGAGAGGATCCTGTCTATTAATATACCCAATTAAAAGACAAAGACCTTCTTTTTTTTCTGCAAGTATTTGCATATCCTTAATGGTTCTGGTTCAAATAGGACGATTTGCAGGGCATTGTGGACACCATGATTTTATTCTAGCAAGAGGTGCAATCCATTCATGATCTCTTGAGCATTTCCAAAGCATTGGTGTCTTTTTATTAATATATCTTTCAGAGAGACATTTACCTTCTTTATTACATGCAATTTCTTTAACAATATCTAATGTTAGTTTTACCATTTGTAACTAAACCCAAATAATATCTTATATCAAACTTTTAAAAGGCCGGCTAATTCCTCCCTTTAAACGAGATCTACTCAATCATTTATATCGTTTAATTAGCCGGTCTCTTACTCTAATACATTCATTTAAGAAAAAATTAAAGATATGTTTTGACCTTAATTATTGTATGCGCGTAAAAAGTATTTATTATATCAATGTTTACGGATTCGACAGATTTCCAAATATTACTGAGATGGGTAAATTCACTTTAGGATATTTTTAACCATGATAGCTCTGCTAATAAGTTGGACTTCTAATCCAATGATTTTGCTTTCTTCGCTGAATATAAGTGGTAATTGCCGATAGAAGCGCGATCCGGATATCACGAGTCGCCTGCCGAGATGCGTGGACCTGGCTAAAATTCAGTCACGATTTTCTATAACGGATATGGGTAATTATTTTCGAAAGCGACAAAAATGCTAGATATAATTTGCGTAACTTATAATCCGAAACACGATCCGAATATTACTGAGATGCGTATCGGATATACCTCTTAATACTTCGATTATTATCGTATATATACCCCTTACCGATTACTTACCTCCGCTTCCCACGCTTCTTTTTCTACGAAAGTATACGCTATTCTTCTTGAGCAGGACTCGGCTCTAGGATTATATTAATCTAACGGCTCGTCGAATAGTGTTGCTTTGATTCTCCCGCCTATTAGTTAATACACCAAGACCATTTTTTCTCTGCATCGCTTTATCGTAACCATGAACTCGACCAACAAACGAAAAGAAGCCGTCACGTCGGAGGAGAAGCCTGTTACAAAGAAAAAGTTCTCGCGGGGGTCTCGTAAACGTTGGAACAAGAGGCTTACGTCGGAACACAAACAAAACGATCAAGAATCAGAAGATAACGACGTATTCCCTATCACGAACCCTTTCACCGAGTCCAATATAGTTTTTAATTCATTAAAGGTATTGGCGAAACTGATATATAAATATGAATTGATACACTTCAGTCAGGACTTATACCAAAAATGGATATCGATTCTAGAATAATCTTCTTGAATTTAATTGGCTCTTACTCGTGCACTTCAACTGAAATTTGCAAATTTTTACGATATTGATCACGGTTGATAAACATACCGATAGACAGTAGAAAACCTCCTCTTTCATAATCACGCAAGCTCGTCTCATAATCACGTCTCTCCGAAAAGTTGTATAAGACCTGAAAATACGGTAAATTTATAGGAAATTGCTTTCGTCGGTCAATCTAAACCATATATAGACTTATATATTTCATACCTACATACCCAAAGCAAGAAAATGTCGCAGTCACAGCAGTCACAAGCAACGCAAAAAGCCAGGGAATTGCCTTTCTATTTGTCGAATTAGTTGAGAAATACAGTAAATTCGGATTAAAGCCCTGTGAGATGAAGGAATCGCAAGAATGGCGATATGCTAGTGGAGGTCAAGCAACTAAACGTCTTGCACTTTATCGTGATTTTATACCTGAACTCATAGACTTCGAACCTTTTTTAAACTCTTATTCTATTTGTGAAAAACATTATAGCCAAATTATATCTACTAATTACTTTTATCAACAGCTTTTAGATGATTCTCTTATTAATTATAACAAACGATGTTGAATTAATACTAACCCAGACGATACTAACCTTTCTAAGTCTACTTTTAATTTAAGCAATGATGAAGAGACCCTTCTCAAGAATGAGTTACATTTACCGTAAAGTCCCGATAATAAGCAATCCCCTACGTCATCATTTTTGAGGTCAATTTTTAGGAGGGTTGCTTATTTTCGAGCCCTTTAAATAAATGTAAATATATCAATGACTAATGATCCAAATCGAACGTTCTATAGCTCATTGGATTCGTCTTATTGAGGCGATCATTTTGGCGGTTTTTTCGTTTGAATATGGTCACTGGTTATCGAAATACTCGGAAAACATTTACTGCTATATATTAAAAATTACTATCACAAATAGGGGTTGTTTATTCAACTTTTCTAAGTCTTTTAGGTCTGAAGAGGGGGGGGGGGTTGCTTATTTTAGGGGGTTGCTTATTATCGGGACTTTACGGTACATAATTAATATCATTAGAATTAAATTTAAGATAGATGATGAAAGAGAAAGATCTAATCTGTCCTATTTTTTCTTTATCAATTATATTAAAAAGTTTATAAGTCTTTTAAACTCTTTTCATTCTTTTTTTTAAAGTATCATCAATAAATTTTTTTTCAGAATTTCTCATCTTTAATCAAAGCATAAGTTTCTTCTTTATCATGAATATTCTTTAACTTCTTATATTGATTACAGAAAATAATAAGAAATATTAAACATTTCATGTATTTTTAAATTAATTTATATTATTGGATCTTATATTTCTTTTAATAATTTTATTTACATATAATGATAATTTATAACTAAAACAAATTTCATCTTTATATAATACATCCAGAAGTTATAAAATTACATGCAATTTTCTCTTAAAAAATTATCCTTTAAATTTTACTGCATAATATATCATGAAAAAGAATTAACAAAAAGTCAAAAAAATAAATTTATTATTGTAAAAAAGCTTAACTATATATATATTAAGATTTTTAAAACTATAGATTATTTTGTAATTTACATATTAGATATATATAAGCTTAAATCTAAAAAATAATTAGATTATTTATTAATTTATAATAAATATATATGCAAATTATCTCAAGACTTCAGTAATTCAAAATAAAAATTTTCATTATTAAATTCTTTTTTAAATCATACAAAGTATTAGAATTATTATATAAATATCTGAATCATTTTATAAATAAATAAAATTAATTAAAAAAAATATTTAATATTTCTTTTATCTTCTTTTCATAAATGATCTGATTATTTTTTAAATAATTTTTTAAGTTCATATATTTTTAATATATGAATTAAAAATAATTTATAGTTTTAGAAATCTTAATATATATATGATCAAGTTTTTTGCAATAATAATTTCATCTTTTTAACTTTCTATTAATACTTTTTTATAATATATTATATAATAAAATTTAAAGAATAATTTTTAAGAGAAAATTACATATACATATCCTACAATATATTATCAGAAATTCCAAAAACAAATCTGCTGCTTTGAGTTTCAATATCTCAAAATTCAATAATCTAATTTAAATGAAAATACTCTCATTAAATTTATTCTGACTCCATAAATCTTATGATAATATCTTTATTTAAATGAGATTACTAGATTTTGAGATATTAGATTACAAAATGATAGTTTTATTTTTGTTATTTCTGATAATATATTGTGGAGATATGTAGTTTTATAACTTTTAAATATATTATATGAAGTTAAGATTTATAATTAATACAAAAAGTAATAATAAACATATTTTTTATTAAAATTTATCAATATCTTAATAAAAAATTACTCAAATATTATAAGTATTTAATATTATATTTTTTAAAAAAATAAAATTTTTTAAGATTATAAAATATATTAATATAATAATATTTTGAAAAATTACATGCTAAAAATAATATATTAAAGAATTATTCTAATTAAAAAGCTATAAAAAATTATTTAAAAATATTTTTATAAATAAGTATGAAAATAATTTTATAAAAATATATTTAAAAATATAGAAAAGATATTTATAATTTAAAAAAAATTAGCTAATATTTATAAATAAATATCAATTAAAAAAAGATTTAATTTTGATAAATTTTATAATAAAATATAATAAAATATAGTAAAATATAATAAAAATATTATTTTTATTATATTTTATTAAGAAATTTATTAAAATTAAGTCTTTTTTAACTGATATTTATTTAATATTATCATAATAATATAAATTTCTTTAATTTCATAATTTTTTAAATTTTGAATTTTTAGTCAATCAATTAATCTTTTAGAAATATATGATTTTAAATAATTTAATTAGTATATTATTTATGAATTCAATTATAATTTAGTAATATTTTTGTAATACTTTAGTAATACTTCAAGATCATAAGTATATATTTAGCTTAAAAATTAATAACAATTTACAAATGATTTATTAATAGTTCAAAAATATTTCAGAAATGATTTAGAAATAAATTTTATTTATTTTTCTTTATAATCTTTTCTTTTTAGAATATTATCTTATCTTTTTATTTTATTTTATCATTTATACTATTTTTTAACTTATCATATATATTTTATCTCTTTATTTTACTTGTTTATTTATTAATTTTTTATCTCAAGACTTGTAATTATATACTAGAATAATAAATGAGTTATAAGTAGAGTTTAGATGAAATCTGTAAAATCTCAAAGATATATAAATATCTCTGTTCTTAAATATAAAATAAATATACTTGAATAGTAATAATTTAATTATTAATAAAATACTTGAAATAGATAATAAGAATGATAATATATTATTTAAAAAATAGTATGTTTCTATAAATTTTAATCTAGATTTTGATAATTTAACTTTAAAAAAATATGTGAATTATAAGAAAGCTATTAAAATTATTATTAAGCTTAATATTCATAACAGATTTTTATAATCAAAATACAAAACTATAAATAAAAAGAAAACTAAAAAAATTATTAAAGATATAAAGTAATTATTTAATATATGATCTTAATATTTATTTAAATTAAATATTACTAATATTAAATAAATTAGAAAATTAAATAAATTTGAGTTTTGATTATTTATTTTTTATCTATTTATCTGAAGTTTTTAATAAAGTATATAAAGATATATAATTATTTTTTAATTAATTATTTAGAAATATAAATATTATTTTAAAAGAAATTATATTTTATATTTGAGATGAATAAAAATATATTATTTATTATTTATTATTTATTATTTATATTTCTAATTCTTAATATATTTTTTGACTCAAAAAGTAGATAGATGATATTTTTTTACTATTATATTTATAATATTAAATATCCTATTAAATAATATTTTAATATTTTTAATTATTTTATCTGATGAATATCTTGTATTTATATTATAATATATTTTATAAATATAATTCATATTAGAATATATCTAAATATATCTTGATATTAATTTTATTATAAAAATTTTAAAAAAATTATTCATATTTATATAAATATTTTTATATATTTTAAATTATTTATAAATATTTTAAATTATTTTAAAATATATAAATATTTATATTAATTATTTTTTAAGAATGAATATAAATATAATAGCCTGTTAAATAGAATAATTTCAGAAATAACTTTGATTGAAATTAGAAATTTTATTAAAATTTAAGGAATTAAGAAATTAATTTTACATATTATATAAGAATTACATGTATTTTGATATTTTTATTAGATAAAAAATTGAGTTGGATTAGGATTAAGTTATGAATCATCTGAATTTAGTAATCTAATAATAATATATATTTAATTATTGTAATTAGTTATTAAGAAAAAATAAAATGTATTATATTTAATGATTTTGATAGCTTATACTATTATATTCTAACTAACTGCATGTACTATAGATATACTTTATATATAGCTTTTTTTCTATTACTAATTTATAACATTTGGTTTTTAATCATTTTTTATGTTATAATATTGATAGATTTTTAACTGATCTGGTTTTATTTTTTTATTGATATCATTATTATTAACTTGATCATTATTTAAAAGAGCTTGATTTTGATTTTATATTAATTTGATAAGTATTTTTTTATGTTGATTTATAAATTATCTTAATTATATTATTATCTTATTATAATTATTATACTTAATAGCAAGTTAAGTTGCCTATTGTATAAGTTTCCATATCTTACTATATTTGAGTTTTCTCTATGCTATATAATGTAAAATATATATCATAATCTTGGATATAATTAAAAGATTTGGTATTAATATTTTATTCAAATAATTCTTCACAATTTCTTGATTCATAAAATAATAAGATTTAATAATTATATTATTATCTTTGTATTTATTAATATATTATTGTGAGAATATTATTTGAATATGAAATCTGTTAATTTTTAAATATATTATTACTTGAAAGTAATGATAATAAATAATCCTACAGGATATATTAGATATATATAAATAAAGATATAAAATAAAATCAATTACTATTATAAAATATAAATTCTTGCTATTATTAGATTAAATATCATTAATTTTTTATAATTTTTGAATATTTTTTTTGTTAATTTTAGTAATTATTAATCTTAATAAAATTTGTTTTACATTATATAGATTTTTAATAAATTCATTTACTATATTAATATTAGAATCTTAAATATCAAAAATTTTGTTATTAATTAAATTAGTTATTAAGAAATAATTTTAAAAATACTTAATTTATCTTATCATAAGTATTAATAGTATCTAATTATATTTGAGTCATAATAAAATATAAATATTGTACTATTTTTAAATATTTTATAAATAAAATATGAGAAGTAAGATATTGAATCATTTATTTATCAATATTAGGAAAAAGATAATAATTAACTAATATGATTTTTATACAGAATAATAGAGTATAATATTCAAAAAAATAGTTTTATTTCATCCTGACTTGGAGTCTTGAATCTAATATATTAACAAGATTATATAAAATATTATTTACTATAAGTAT